CAGTTCACAGTTACTGCAGCTGTAATAAACAGACAAAGAGCAGGGTAGTTAGCATGAGCAGTAAGAATGAGTCAAAAGTAGCTATTGTAATCTTTTATTACCTTCTAAATCTTGTAAGTCTAGAGTTGTTATGAATAATCGTCTAAGTTTTGTAATATAATGTCAGTATTAATACAGTGCCTTGGTAGTACTGTATTTGAATATGGTCATGCCAGTGAAGCCATTTGAATTTGAAACTGAAATGATTGAAATTTCACTTTAATCCAAATTAAGTGCGATCCTCTCTAAACAGTGATTTCATTCAAATGCTACCCCTGCCATTTTAGAGAACCAACTGAAAATCCTAGAGTGCTTGTTATACACAGGAACTGCTTTTTCCTTTTACAGAGTGTTAACTTTAAAGCATAGAAAACGAAGAATGTCTGATAAGGAAGAAATGGCTTCTGATGGGAGTCTGAACGTTACACTGACGCTGAGACTGCTGATGCACGGAAAGGTAATCGACAGCTGAGGAAATAGAATAATTTAGTGTATTTTTGTAGTAACAGCCTAATGGTCTGGTAATAGCATGCCATTGCTCTTAAAAGGATTACATCCTGCTGGAAAATGTGAAAAGCTGTTAAGAGAGAATCTTCTGTGCTGCCATTTGTTCAAACATTTTCTTTTCATTCACAGGAAGTTGGCAGCATAATTGGAAAGGTAGATTTATTTTACAATCAGTCTGCATTTATTATATGTACCACATTCCTCCTGATTGTCTTGTTTTCTTCTTCTTATAAAACTAATCAAACCTGGTGTTTTGTATTTTTCTACACTTCCAGAAAGGAGAAACAGTGAAAAAAATGAGAGAGGAGGTGACGATTAACTTTGATGTCTGTAATGTGGGAATACATAATTTAATGTGTTCTGTCAGATCAATTACAACTAATAAAAGCTGAAATTAGTGTGGATTTGTTGCTTCCAGAGTGGTGCTCGCATTAACATATCAGAGGGATCGTCTCCAGAGAGGATAGTTACTATCACAGGACCTACAGAGGCCATCTTTAGAGCTTTCTCCATGATCACACAGAAGTTTGAGGAGGTACAGCAAGACAAATATACAACAAAGTGCTTTGCAGCTTTCAATAGACCATTCATACAATGCTATTATTGTTCTTAGTCTTAAGAAAGATGCTTTGAAACCTATGTAGTCTGAAGGGCCCTGACACTTTTCTCAGTCATACACACAAAAAAGACTTGTCAAATACAGTCAACATTCTTAGATTTGGTGCTGGGAAAAAAAACCCAATATATTTTTTGAATTCTCCCTTAGGATATTACTGCAGCAATGACAAACAGCAACTTGACAAGCAAGCCACCGGTGACACTTCGCCTGGTTTTCCCAGGGAGTCAGTGTGGCTCACTGATTGGAAAAGGAGGCTCAAAGATCAAAGAGATCAGAGAGGTGGGAGTCGTTTTCCTTTTTTATTTTCTATAAGGAATTTGTTTTGCTGCACCCAAATGGGGGACAGACAAGCTGCTCCTCTGACACCTCAGATATCAAGCACTCCAGTCATACATCTCCTCTCTGCCAGAAAATATGTGTATTTCTTTGGCTGCTGCTCATGAAAATCCCGCTGATTATGCCTGTAAAGATCTGCAGAAGCTGAATACTCAATCTGAATGGACGATATTTGTCACCTCTTCAAATATTGGAGCACACATTGCAGCTGCTCCCTGCATGTCAGAATGTGTTCAGGGTAATTTGCGGGTGCTTGAAACAGCATTTCAATTTTGGTGATGGTGTGCTTTTTTCAGCAATAAATAGCCTTTGTTTCCTGTGTTGTCTGGTGATGTTAAGTCCACAGGAGCTCAGATTCAGGTGGCAGGAGACATGCTGCCAGACTCTACAGAGAGGGCTGTCACAATCTCTGGCATGCCACAGGCCATCACTCAGTGTGTAAGACACATCTGCTCTGTCATGCTGGAGGTAAGCACTGTCAGACAGCAGATGATCGTCACATTCAGCAGCTCTATTTAGGTGATAAGTGTGCCACATTTGCTTAGGATGTGACAGAAGGTATTCAGGAGCACATTTATTTTCAGTCTGTGAGGTGTGCTACTCCTGCAAGGATGAAGCTTTGTTGTCAGGTTGTAGTGGCTGGTCACCTTTATAAAATGTGCCACAATAGAAACGCTTTGCAATGATTTTCATGCACTTTCTATGATGATGACTTATATAAGTGCCTTCCAACTTTTTGTCAAATGTAGCCCACCCTGTCAGATATTTTAAGTTCAAAATATTTTCTTATCAATGGATCATAAACTGGATGTTATTGAGCAATATCAATCATACACAAGCACATATTGTTACATTACTATTTTTAATAAAACTGAGTTGTCACCTTGCAATTAGTTATCCATTAGCATTAGCTAACTATTTATTTGTAATTTAAAGAATTTTTTTGAACATTTTCTTTATTTATATTTCCCCAGTTTAATCCATGACTTTAAAAGAATTATCTGAACTGTGTATTCATTACTGAACTAATTGATGTGTTTATTGATTACATATAGCTAACTTCACAATTGTTAGCTGTTAGTTATTGCAACTATTGATTAATTTCTTTCAGCTAACTGTTTCAGAACTGTAAATCCAGTATTTCAGAACTATATTAACTTCTCAGTTCACTTTCTAACTAGTTTTCACACACTCTCAATTGTAACACATGCTATTAATGTTACAGCTGATTCAGGTTGACAGGCAGCTACTTGTGAATCCAATACTAGGCTATAATGTTACTTGTTTGCAATCCCATTTGGCTGCTTATTTTAACATAAATATGTTTATGTTTTACGATCAAATCACAATTTCTATTTTTTAGTTTTCTAGGGTTTAGTTAAATTAATTATTTGAGATCATATCTCCCGTTACTACAAACAGTACATACATTACTCTGGATTCACTTATAATCATTTATAAAAGCATGAAGATAGAGGCTAAATGGGTTTCTGTTTATAATGCTAATCTTATAAAAAAGAGGGATGAGTTTAGATTTAAGGCCAGCAACCACTTGACTGCTTCATGTTGCCAAAAGCTCATGGATACATTGAAGTAACTCTCTATCTCTATTCATCATTTGTATGTTTTTTACTTTTATACAATAGGAGCTCACATCCATGGAGAAATACCTAAAACCCCCTATTTTGAGGACTATTCACAGTTGTATCATAGGTTTCTTTGGGCCAAAGTTTGATGTAACTTTCTCAGCCAATGACTAGGGTATAAAAAGATTCAGCAAGTGATAAAAAAGAGACATAAAATGCCTCAGTGCCAGTATGAGTTCTCTCTTCAGTTGCAGCAAAGTATAAATTTTTCTCCCTTTTTGGTTTACATGACTGTGTCTCTAGTCTCCACCAAAAGCAGCAACTATCCCCTACCGTCCCAAGGTCATACCTGCAGGAGCCCATGCAATATTAGCACCACAGCACTCTACAGTAAGTAGCCACATGGAGGTTATTTAGTTGTGATTTTAACTTTGTAAAAGACATAACAACTGAATAGCCTCAGTCTGTGACACACTGATCATTAAGGATATTTCCAGCAACAGAGGGACACATCTGTGTAATTATACAGAAATAAACTCTTCATTATGTAATACTGTAAACAGAAAGCTGAGGTAATTGCTGTATTAAAAGTGTTCAGACAATGTGTAATGTTTCAAAGATGTGAATAACAGCCATTTACATTAATAGCCCCCCCCCCCGTAGTATGAAATTTGAAGGGTGTCGTGACTAAACCTCTTGTTTTCTCTGAGCTGGCTAGTCACTGTCCTGTATTTGGCACAGTGTGTCCTGACCTATCAGACATCTGTTTATGTTACTGCATTTCTGGCCATGGTCAAAAAAGGGGTAAGACAGCAGATGGCATTTAGATGAAATTCCATCAAATCTATGCACATATAGAGCTATGGAAAGGGCAACGGGAGTAGATATTTACTTATCATGCTCTGTGATGATTTCACATTTCAAGTGACATGTCAAGACATGGCTGTAACTCCCAATCACATATCCACATCTCTTCTCCTGTTCCTTCCAGGCCTTTGCGATTCCAGGGCAGTACGCTTTTGCACATCAAGATGTAAGTGTGCTCATTTGAATGACATCCACCCTAATAACCTGCTCCTATTCACTCCTTTCCAAGCCGCCACTACGCCCTCTGTGTACCCTCCTCTTCAAAGATGAAATTTCGATAATCTTTATTTGTTGACATTACTAACTCTAACACACAGTAGCAGCATGCATTGATTGAAAAAAAATGTGATGATCATAAATGTTAATGACCAGTTACAGCCTTGTAGCAGGAGATGTGACTGTTTGCTTTCTGAAGGAAATGAATCTCTTCACATTGACATCATGTGCCATATTTGTCAACTTCAGATTGGCTCCTCTGAAATAATCCAGTTTGACTGGTTAGCTCTAACTTCCTTCCTACCCTACAGTTGACCAAGCTTCACCAGTTGGCTATGCAGCATATCCCCCTCCCCTCCCTTGGGCAGAACAACCCTACCTTCCCTGGTACGTACCCATGGCTCCCTGGGGAAGTCCATTTATCCTTCTGTCTTCATTCCTCTTCAAATCACACCATCAAATCACACGTCACTTCAGAGAGGATTAAGGATGTCTCCATTTTCTCAGAGTTCACAGGTTTTTTGTAGAAGGTGGCTTCACAGTGGTGTACACTACACCAGTAAAACAAAGGTGATGAAAAATGCAGAAAATATTTACAGTTTAGTAAATATTTAAACATTTCTCAACAATGCTCACATCCTCCCAGAATTTCAGCTCTATTTACCCAGTTTCCCTCTCCAAAAAACAAAACCCAATCGCTCGACCCCATCCTTCACCTGTACAACATTTTTCCTCCAAGTCTAACATTGTCTTGGCCTGACCTCAACCACCCCATGTACTCATATACTCTACCACAACTAACTGAGGACAAAACATTACAGCATTCTGATTAGAAAAGCAGAACTGAAATGACTGAACTTATGAAACATACTTGTGTCTAAAGAAATATGTAGCTTTTCTATTGTAACAATGAGAATGCATGGGTGTGTACAGTATTTGTATTAAGACAGAATTTCTTGCCATATGTCGTTTTCTGTATCCTAATTTAACAGCGTAGCAAAAGTAGGACAACTTGCCATGCTAAGTGGAAGCCATTAGCACCATGCTGTTGTTAGTGTTTCTTGTTCTACTTTGCAGGACTGGATGCAACTGCCCCCACAAATTCACATGAGCTGGCAATACCCAATGATGTAAGTGGCACATCGTTTGTGTTCTTCCAGCACTAAAACTCGCTCTGATAATAATTCTCATGCTGCTGACTGCATTAACATTTTCTAGGAGGACAGCTATAATGGGGAATTTCTGGAAACAAGTATCTCACCTTCTTCAGCATTTTGTAATTTATTCTTTGTCTCTTTCTTTTTGTTTAACATAAATTATTGCACTAATTCACAGTACACATTACTGCAGTGTTAACACAGTGGTGCTAGTATTAGCACTGTTGACTTGTTGTAGCTTGAATATGACCAAAAATAAGGAATATCAGTAACCCATCAATAAAAATAAAAAAAATACTGTTTCTGATCCTTTATGGCAGTCTATTAGCCATGCTATTATTAGCTTTATTTATATTTAACTATATCTAAATTACAGGATAGCCTAATGGATTTCTTTGAGAAATTATGTTTTATATTTTTAGAGAACTGCACTTATAACCTCAGGGCCATGGTCTGACATATTGGGCATATTTGATAACTTTTTCACTTTCTTGCTAAGAACTAAATCTAAAGATGAGTAGCCTACCACTGTCATGTCTGTATGGTAAATATGAAGCTAGAGCCAGCAGTTGTTTGCTTAGCCAACCATAAAGACTGAAAATGAGAAATAGCAGGCTTGGCTTTGTTCAAAGGTAACTAATTGCACCTTCCAGCACCAATATAAGGCTTTCACCACCAGTCAGTTAGCTTAGCATAGTGCTAAATCAGAGAAAGGGTTAACATGGCCCAAGGCAACAAAACCCTCATAACAGCACCTCTAATGCTGAGCAATTAACACTTCATTTCTGGTTTGTTTAATCTGTATAAAAACTGAAATGTAAAAACAGACTAAATAAATGAGAGACAACATGTTAGTTAGTGAAGGTGCTGTAGGTGGATTTATCAGGCAGAATCAGCCTAGCGGTTTTCCTGTTTACAATTTTTGAAATAAGCGATGCCATTTTTGGTATCTGTGTTTGTAAAATACGGGCATGAGAGTGGTATCATTTCACGCGTGGCGCAAAGGTGAATAAACATATGACCTAAAACATCTACTATCACTTTAAAACAATAGATTGACAAAGCCAGGACTCTGGTGACATTCACTGGATTGTCAGCTTCCACTTCATTTGATCTTATTATGGTGTTTTCACAACAAGGGTACAGTGAGATGTTTCCCGCTGTTACATTCAGCTAAGAACGTGGTTCCTCAGTAGAAATACACCAGGGCTTTGTGGTGCTATCACCATGGCAGTTCTTTCCAGATGCTGTCTTGAACTCTTATTGCTGAAAAGCATGGAAACCTGAGCTGTCCTGTTACTTACATGTTTCCACTGTGTCTCCCCTGCTAGTTTATTGGCTGCATAATTGGAAGACAAGGCAGCAAGATCAATGAGATTCGCCAGGTCTCTGGAGCTCATATCAAAATTGCCAGTGCCACTGATGGCTCAGCCATGCGCCAAGTCACGATCACAGGCTCACCAGCCAGCATCAGCGTGGCCCAGTACCTCATCAATGCCAGGTAAGATATTACACAGGGAGATTGCATCCAACAGGGCTTCCCATTGCAGCCTGATGATAAGACACTCAAACAGCATGCTGTTGTATGAGGGCAGAGTTATTGTGCTCAGGGTGAGGTGGGATTAGTTCCATCTCACCGCTTCATTCTCTTGATATCATTAAAATCTTTATTGTCTCTACTTTTTAACACATTCCTTCTTGATTCTTATGTTTTCTTCTCTCTCACCTCCCTTCTCCTTTGTGCCAATCATTTCCCCCCTTTTTTATTTTTCACTCTCTTCTTTTAACCCCTCACCTCACATTCAACTCCCCCTCTCCTCCAAACATAATGACCTGCAGCTTAGAGATGGCTAAATACACCATGCAGGCTGCTTCCTCTGCAACCCCCGTTGACCTCAACCTGACCTTCTCTCAGTCTGCTCCCACTGCCTCCACTGCTGCTACGTCTATGGCCGTCCTGGCAGCCACCACCCCAGCCCCAACCACCATTAACGTCCACTCTCCCTCCACCTTATCAACCATTCAAAACCCACACTATGCTGTCCCCATTTCTAGTTTGCTTGGCATGAAAGCTCTCCCTGTCCTGGCTGTCCACCCAGCAACCTCTAGCCTAATGCAGGGTTTATCCCCTTACACTGCAAAAATGCCAACCTCCAGCATCAAAAAATCTGAGCGGCAGAAGTTTGCTCCTTATTGATATCTGCTTCTTATTTAAAAATAGAAAATAATTTCACATTAAGCATATAGATGTAAAAATAGTGTATACGTTTTAGCAGTGTAGCAACTGTTTTCCACAAAGTAGGAAAATGTTAGAAACAGACTGAAAGGATGGTAATATCGAAAGATGTGCTCATTCATTAAAACATGCAGCAGAGGTGCATATTAACTCATATGGACATGCATAACAATTAATGTGGGTAACTCAGGTTTGCATTAGTACCCTAGAAAATGATATTTTTCAAAGGGATTCATGTTACAAAATGTTACACAAAGACTTACTCCAGGAGATTTTCCATGATCCAAATATTGGCCTGGTTTTCTATCTGTGTAACTAGTTTATAATCAGCTTTTGTTAGAGAATACAAACTAGTATAAAATGTGGTGCTTTGTTGGCAGCAGGCTGTTAAAATATTTGTCTTGTATAAAAGAAGCCAGTGTTTTATTTGTTTTTTTTTTTTTTTTACCAAGGACTGCTTCCTTCTACTGTCATATTTCCCCTTTTCCTCCACTGTAGGCTCTCATCAGTGCTGTTCTGTAGTAGCGTTGCACTGTTGCAGTTGTGATGGGATTATCCTAAAGCCACATTCTAGTGGATTTTACTCTACACAGTAATCCAGTAGAGCAGGACTGGCCTAACTAACTCATTTATTGTTTCTCTGCACTACCTGTTTATTCTACAACCTGTATGAGTGGAATGCACTGACTTTCACTGTCTGAAATGGACACTGAGCAATTGCTGTTATAAATGTTATATTTCTGGTGTGGGTCTACTCCCAAACAGTGCAGAATTCTTCTATTTGTTCATGAAATGACTGTGGAATAAATGGGACTTTGTAAGAATGCAGATGTTGTTGTTGTTGTTGTTGTTTTTGGTGAGAATGGTATAGACAAGCTACAAATATTAAATAATTTACATCTTAAGTGCTTTAAACTTTAAGTGTATAGAAGGCAGGGTCACTCAGAAAGCACTGGAGCTATTTTATTATGCCTCAGCACCAGCAATAGCCTCATCTGAAAGCATGATATTTTTGGGTTGTCCATCTGTAAATTCTTCTAAATGTTCTGGTAAATGTGATATGTCAGGAACACCTTGAGAGAATTTCTTTGAATTTGGCACGAATGTCCAATTGGACTCAAAGATGAATCAGAGTTTGGTGGTCAAATGTCAGTAACCTTACCTCACAGATATACATATAGATGCATACTATATACTGCTACTTACCTCGGATCCTAAATCATTAATAAAAACAGTGAATAAAAAAAAAATACAGAAAACAACAAAATGCAGTAACAGTGGCCATTAGCAGCTTTCAGCACACAGATATACTGTACACCAATCAGGTATAACATTATGACCACTGGCAGGTGAAGTGAATAACATGTACTATCTGTTACAGTGGCACCTGTCAGTGTGTGGGGTATATTAGGCAGCAAGTGAACATTCAGTCCTTGAAGTTGATGTGTGGGAAGCAGGAAAACTGGGCAAGTGTAAGGATCTGAATGACTTTGACAAGGGCCAAACTGTGATGGTGTGATGACTGGGTCAGAGCATCTCCCACACTGCAGGTCGTGGTGGGTGTGCTTGGTCTACAGTGGTTAGTACCTACCAACAGTGTCTAAGGAAGGACAAATGGTGAACTGGAGACAGGGTCATGGACGCCCACAGCTCACTGATGATGAGGTTGACCTACTGTAGATTAAACTTTTAGAATGGTGAGGCTGCTGAATTTGTCTAAAACATTCTCTCTAACTTGTCCTCACGACCACAGTTTTCACTCCTTTTACATCAGTTTTTCACTGAATTGTAGACACATCTGTGCTCTTCCTGACAGTAGAACTGTGGAAGCAAATGGATTCACAGAAGATGCACAGTGAGCTGTAGAGTGACACGAGTGCCAACCAACTGCCACATTGACTCCTGTATAAACAACATTAGGCAGGTGGTCATAATGTTATGCCTGATTGGTGTAAGTTGTTTTCACATACTGTATGAACTCAGGACTATGTCAGAGGAATCAGGCCCAGACTTTATGTTGAGTTGCCCTTTCACACACATAGCACACAACAGGAGATAATCTGTGTCAGAGGTGTTCTCACTGACTAGAAATACTCTGGTATATGTGCAGGGGGCTTGCCTGGGTAGAGGGGACAGGAGGTGAGACATGACACTGTCATTTGGCCAGTTTGTAATTTGCTCATAAACAACATTAGGCAGGTGGTCATAATGTTATTGCATGTTAAATTTTCTGATAATTCTGGTGCCAGCTCTTAATGACAGAAATTCCAGAATCTCATTGTGTCTCCACTTAGATACTTTTGTTGGTGTCTTCATTGTAAATGGCTGGTTTTCTTCAGCATTGGATATTTGTATTTATCCGGTTTTGTGCCAGTCACATGATGGAATGTCATCAACATACTCCGAACTGTACACTGCTGTATTCTCATATGGGCTCACTCTAGCTCCAGCTCCCCCCTGTCTAGAGAATTTCAAGGTTCCAGTGGATGTCTGAAAAAGGCTATATAGAGATTTCAGCAGGTATACAAGAACACCTCTGCACAAACTAGCCCATGGTATTATGAATGCATTTTATTGCTGAAAGAGGCCATAAAGTTCCTGCCCACACAAACTTTAATGTGCTCTCCCCAAAAACCTGAAGCAAACCTAGACTAACCTCACAGCAAATATTCAGCACTTGCTGTGGGAAAATTCTCACGGGTCCCTGAAAAAGAACAACTTAACTTCCAGCTGCCCACTCAAGTATCTTGATAATGTGCAGGTAGGGTACATTGTTTCTCTGTGTCCCTGCCACCCTGTCCCTCTTTACCCCTGCTTCCCTGAGTCTGACTTCACCCTCTTTTCTGGAATAAAAACCAGGAGGTGGGCATTTCTGTTCTGCCTGAACTGTAGTGAGCCATGTGGGCCATTTCTACAGCAGAGTTGAAAATGCTGAAGTGGAGATAATCAATAGTTAATGGGGGCAAAAATGTAATGACAGTGAAGGATGACATTTCAGCCTCGGGGAAGGTGTAGCAGCAGAGAACAGTGCTGCATGTATGCTGATGTGTGCCCAGGGCAGTTATGAGTTCAGAAGCCGGCTTCTAATGCTATATTAATGATTTCCTTTTTCAACCTGATAGTCAGGTGTGAGAGGCCCATTTTGGAGCTTTCTGCTATCCTGCAGTTTTGAAAAAGCAATTTAAAGGTAAATAAGTAAATAAGTAAATATTTTTAGGTGTGCAATCACTTGACAATTTGTGACAAATTGTTAAGGGCTGTCACTCTGCCTCTGAAGAAAAATCATGGAAATAGTCTAAAAAAGAATCCTCTAGGGACAGAGTCATATGGTGCTGGAATATATTTTTTACTGTCAGTATTCTTTCAGTAGTTTTCCATAGTATTTCTATTAACCAGTGTTATTATCATACAGCGTAACACTTGATAATTAAAGTAATGGTACTTGAAATACTGTGTAGTAAATACAGAACATTTGAATCTGCTATTACACGGATATTGCTCAGATTTATTTCTATTACAGTTAGCAGTGATTGTTATGGTTAGCCTCTGGAGTATGATTCTATGATCAGGATATGATCTTGTTTGTGAAAGAGCACCTAGTTTCAGACCTTTGTGTTTTCATATACTGCATAGACTTATACTGTAGGTTGCCACAAAGGATAAAGTCTAATTAATATGGTGACTCCTTTTCAGCATATCTCTCTTTATCAAGTCAGTATGTTAAATATTGTATGACTAAATACTTGTAAAACTGATGACATTTCTATAAATGACTGAATAAATATTGACTTGCCTGCTATTATCACATGGCAGTATGTGATGTTAGCTTGCAATGTTATCTCAAAGCACTGCTCTCCTTTTCCTGAAGGAATCTTTTAAATATTAAACAAGATAGGGGAAAAAGCTGATTGCTGACCTCAGTGTTTCTTCGCTACAGCCCTGTGTGATTCTTGAAGCAGCTTTATCATTCTGCTTATTACAGTGACAGTTATGAATATTTTAAATTCTCTCCTTGTATAAAATGCTTCATTATTTACGCATTGGCCACAGTGAGTCACGGAAACGTCTTCTTATTCTAAGATAATTAAGCAAAGTGGTTAATTAAAGCAGTGTGTGAACCGAACCTGATGAAGAGACCTGTGAAACATCCCTTGGTCGCAGTAATTGACTGCCTGTTGTTCCTCAGTCATTTTAAACTGCCCCATCTAGCGGCTGAACCTGACGTCGATGCGCGTTCCCCCGTCCATTTATTAAATTATTAATTTTTTTGTGACCGTGAGAAACAAAGTGCCAGCTAGAGCAGGGACATCAGTAGCTGCGCGGCACTTGCACACGGCGGACACGGAGCGTCCTCATCAGTGGCGATGAAAGTTGAGCGCGACACGCCGATGACCTGCGAGCATCCGCCGGGGAGACTGAGCGAGTGAGCGGCTTAAAGAGCGTCAGTTTCCAGATCCTCGCTGCATATCATTTGTTGCTGTCCAACAGTCCGGAGGCTGTGTTTCAACCTAGCGCACTGACGGACACGGACTCACTCCGAGGATCACAGGTGAATTACATCAGTGTTGCTGTGTTAATGGATGTTAGTCTTTCATTGTTTGAATTCTCAGGTTTCACATCAACTTTGGGAATGGACTGCCCTGTGCTTCTTCACGTTAGGAATTGTCTTTAGGTACATTTCCTGGAGATTGTAGCCTACTCACTCAGGGATAAAGCCACCACGCCTGCCTGACAGTTAAACTGTATCTGTCACAAAAGCCATATGTGAATGAGCTTGAGAGGGAAAGTAATGCAGACTGATGAAACCTGCAGAAAACACTGTTGCACCTGTGGGGGCTGCATAGGTATCAGCGTCAGTGAGCTGCGTTGTAAATAGGACTGGGGATGTTCTAAGAAGTATCAGGGGGATTTCAGTGGTTGCGCAAAGACTGAGTCTGTCTCCTTTACACACTTCGGATTGCAACAACCAATCAACACAGCCTCAGACAGCCTCAGGCAGCCAAGACACAACACAATGCACCCATCATTTAATAAATATAGTGATATAGGGTCTTCTATGCTTATCTGAACAAATACAGCTGCTTGGGTTTTGCTCTTGTTTTACATTTATTTTTTATTAAAGGCGGATTTATTGACATTTTAATTAAATGTCCCTGCCTCTCTGGGTGTGACTCAAAATAAAGTCAAAAAGGCTGCTTGCCATCATCACAATCCTTCTTTCTTCTTGCTATTCTGCTTCAGACTTTTCCTGGCAGGTTTTGTGTACAAGTTCTCACCTTGTTCCACTGTACACAATGTTAAGATTATGTGACAGTTCTGCAAGGGCTGTTGGTTTTGCATTGCATGTTTAGGCAAACTTTCTTTTGATCTGGGTCACTCATAAGATTTACAATGAGAGGATAAAATTCAATTAGACAGCCCCGCAGCAGTTTTTACTCACTGGCAGATGGCTTAATATTCTTGGATCCTGCCTAAGTGTCCGTTATTGCTCTAATTGGATTTCATTATTTCACACTGTTTAGTTGTATAAAATTGAGTAGTAAAACATGGCATCATTAATTTTGTACTTTCTCAGCCCTGTCAGATCCAAGCCCACTAACCACCACTGTTTAAATATTTCATATCCCACCCCCCGTTATTTGTTTTGTCATAAATTGAAGTAGACCTCAAAGTAAAATGTTGCAGTCCCCATGTGTTCTTGATGGCATGTTGGGATGTTGGACGAGTGTAAGCAGGGGAATCTGTAATGTGCAATAAATGAAGTGGTGAGGGCATATTGACTCTCCGAGTTAATTCTGGCCCTGAGGAGATGGTTTTCCTTCCAATGACATCCAGTTTGATTTTACAGAGGGACATTGCAGGGGTGTATTTTCCAAGACAGTGCAAACAGGAATGTCTGTTTTAGAGGCTCACTGTCAGATTTACACTGTATACAATGCCATAAATCAAAATAGGAAGGATGTTGCTGTATGTCTTTCTCTGTTGCAATAGTTTTCGGTCATCATGAAATCTTTCAGATTAAATTAGTTTATTTATTCTGTTCAATATTTATCCATTTTATTAAGAGCATGTAGTAATTAGAAATAAGCAAACAGCCAAAAACATCTTAGCTTGGGTGTGGAAAATTCCTGGAGATGAAAGCATTGCCTCAGTACATTTGTCCCTATTTATAGTGTGACTATGGGAGTGAAATAGCTATCAGCCTCCCTGGAAGAAACATTTGTGAGTGACATCAAAGAAGACAGTGAGGGGCAGGTCAACCTCAATGCATCTTAACGGCCTCGCTTTGTGCTGCTGAAGCCTTGCCAATTCAATCTATATGAATAATATCATATTAGTCAAGGTAGAGCTAAAATTGAACTCTGAGCTCAGGTTGTCATGTCATGACTTATGGGTTTTATGCACTTTGCTGGGTAATGAAAACGACAATAATTTATGAGTCATAAATCAATGCAATGGTGAGCATCATTGAACTGTGAACTAACAGCCAGGTTGAACGCTGGCTTGATTAATCATGGTCGTTGCACCTCAGTGGTCAAACCTTCTCTGTTCAGTAGCCTGAGATGCAAACAGGAACTTTGGCCTTTGACGTAGGGATTTATATCTACAGCGAGGGTAATGACTAAACGTGCTCTTACTGCCAGACACTGAGGCTGATGTTGAGTTCATTCTCTGTAGTGCAGGAAGCCACAGCAGCATTTAAATGTCAGCAGAAAGTGGAAACATCATCAGTCCTCAAAAGTAATAGCGCATAGACTGGCAGCATTTACATATGCAGTGTTAATGGGGGAGCAGAATAACAAAGTGCAGCTTTGGTGAAATTAGCCATTTATGGGAGAACATTTTATTTTCCTGCAGCTGCACAGTCACAGGTCCAAAGTCACATCTATAGTATATGTGATAATTAGTGTTAACTGCATGCACAAAATCAAATGTGGAGCTTTTCAGTAGCTGGAGACAAAACACGTCACATATAAGGAGGAGGGAAACTAATTTTAATGTAATGCAAAGTCACGTCCTACAGGTTTCTTCAGAGGGTGTGGCCCTTACTCATCTTTTTCCCCCTGAATTGCTGCATTTGAAAGCAGAGCAAAAAGTGGTAGATATATAATATGCATAAAATGTCAGTGTACAGTATGTTGTCCTACATATGGATGTTACTTTTGTGTGGGTCAGTTAGACCCCAGAGAGGGTTTAACTATCGTTTATGAACACACTTATAAAACTCCAGTAACATAAATTTAAACACACTTTTATGAGATTTAGGAAGATTGTTCTGCATGAAAACAACAGTATAGTAAAAGTAAGTTAGTGTAATACTAAGTAAAAATATAGGTATAATACTCAACATGGCTCACAGATGGGCTGCACATAAAATTTATTGTGCGTAATGATGTTTCATAGCTGGAGTCCCAGAGACCTCAAACTGACATATAATGTGTCTTTCTGGACTTTGAATGTTATCAGTTCTAAATGAAGTTTATAAGCAATTCTCAAAACATTAGTTAAAGTTATCAGGTATTAGCCATCTTAGATGTTTGGGTTTTTAAAGACCTACATTCTAGACCTTAAACAACAGGGGCTGTACACAGTAAGTGCATAACAAGTATAAGTACTTGTGTAAAGATGAACACAGACGTTTGAGTAATATGCATATTTATTTACTCCAGGGGTGTGTGATTTGTTTGCCAGTGTGCACATGTACTACATCTTTTATCATAGCCTCTATTTGCATCATTATTTATTAATTTGGCACAATAGTAAAGCTTAGTGGAGGGCTGGTTTTACTTGAGCTATTATCATACATGGAGGTTTCTGCCCAGATCCTAAAATGTTTACAGTGGAATACAGATACATGGCAAGAACCTGGCAGAGGTTTCGACTGAATTGTTATATATATGTATGTAACTGTCATTGATAATGAGAGTTGGAGAAACAAGAGTCACACCAGCTCGGACGTTGCCTGGGTCAACAAGGTCTGCGTCAGGTGTTGAGGAACTAGGGCAATCTGATGAGAAGTGGGGTCCTGGAACAAGAGCAGGAAGAAGACATTCATGGACAAGAGATGAGAACAGGGAACTATTATAATGCTACTATACAAGTAACCCCAGCGAGAGGGGTTACATACAGAGGATGTGGGACCTATGGATACTTCGAAACCCAACATCTAGACTAACATCGAAACAACTAGTAGCTCAGTGTTCTAACATCCGCAAGAAGCACCTGCTATGACAACTAGAGATTGACGAGGTACAACACAAATGCTCCAGCAAGGGGGAGCCAAGACAACAGGTCAGGGGGGAGATATCATCACCACCCCATTGGAGATTGGGCACCAAGCCCCAATAACAAGCCCAGATGAGCTTAATGCAAGAGCAGCTGCCTTGAGATTGAAGATCATGACCAAGACAAACACCTGGAACCTCTGTGGCCAGATATCTAGACTAAGAAAAGTGCCTTCTGAAAGTCTACTAGAGGATGTGAATGCAATACTATGAACAATCCCTACAACAACCATCACTAGGACCAACAAGTTAATATGCACCACAGCGACCGTGATCCTTGAGATGCTTGGCTATAAGTTCAACAAAGGCTATACGGAGCAGTATCCTCCATGGAGAAGGAGGTTGGAGGCCAAGATCAAGGCGACACAGAGAGAAGTTAGCCAACTATTGGAATTGCAGAAAGGCGTGATGAAGAAAAATGTACCTAAGAAATACAACACACTGTCCATACCTGAGGCCTTAGAGACTGCCAAGCAAAGGCTCACAGCCCTGGCCACCTGGCTGAAGAAGTGCAGCAGAGAAGATGAAGCCAGGAGAATAAACTGAATGTTCTCCACTGAGCCATCCAAGGTGTACTCTCAGTGGCAGGGTAATAACATGAGAGCAGACCCACCAAGGCTGGAGACTGAACAATTCTGGAAGAGCATATGGGAGAATGAGGCATCACATAACAACAATGCCCAGTGGCTAGTGGACCTAAGAACAGACCACAGCAACCCCCCTGAACAAGATCCAGTAACCATAGAGAGGGTCTCAAGTATGAAGAGCTGGACAGCACCAGGCCCCGACATGATCCATGCCTACTGGTCACAGAAGCTAACTTCAGTGGTTATAGATACCAACTATGGAATGGAGTAGCCATCAGTCACCTCCTCTACATGGATGACATCAAGCTGTATGCCAGGAGTGAATGAGACATTGACTCACTGATCCACACCACTAGGATCTACAGCCAGGACATCAGAATGCCATTTGGACTGGATAAGTGTGGTCGAATGTTAAAAAGGAGAGGGAAGGTAGTCAGAACTGAGGGGACTGTACTACCAGAAGGCAACGTAGCAGATGTTGAAGACAGCTACAAGTACCTTGGGATCCTGCAGGCAAATGGGAACCATGAAGAGGCTACAAGGAAAGCAGTAACTAACAAATACCTGCAGAGGGTAAGGCAAGTCCTGAAAAGTCAGCTGAATGGAAAGACCTATGCCCTGCCAGTCATCAGGTACGCCACTGGCATAATAAGCTGGAAGGAGGAGATAGAGGCCACTGGCATCAAGACAAAGAAGCTCCTTACAATGCATGGAGGGTTGCTCCCCAAGTCCAGCATCCTGAGGCTGTACACTAAGCGGAAGGAAGGAGGCCAAGGATTAGTGAGCGTCAGAGCCACCATCCAGGATGAAACAACAAAGATCCATGAATACATCAGGAAGATCGCTCCGAGTGATGATGTGCTTAGTGAATACCTCAGGTAGCAGACACCAGGTAGGAGATGCCCCTGAGACAATCCAGCACATAACAGCGAGGTGCAAGATGCTAGCAGGCAGGGCATACATGGAACGCCATAACCAAGTGCCTGGCATAGTGTACAGAAACATCTGTACCAAGTACAAGCTGGAAGCCCCAAAGTCAAAATGGGATACCCCTCCAAAGGTGGTTGAGAATGACCAAGCTAAGATCCTGTGGGACATCCAGATACAAACTGACAAACTGATAATGGCCAACCAACTGGACATAGTAGTGGTGGACAAAGAGAAGAAGAAGGCTGTAGTGATAGATGTAGCAATCCCAAGTGATAGCAACATCAGGAAGAAGGAACATGAGAAGCTTGAGAAATACCAAGGGCTGAAAGAAGAGCTAGAAAAGATGTGGAAGGTGAAGGCACAAGTGGTCCCCGTGGTAATAGGTAATGCCATGAGGTAATTCTTGGACCACATAGTGTCCTGTAATTTTCTAAACTGATTCAAGGCAACTGTTCTACAGCTAATTTCCCAGCTAATTTTAAGTTTTTGTTTTCCAGAGATAATTATTTAGAGCTGGCAAGTGTTAATTGGAGACCTGTTTTTCCACTTACAGAGCTGATGTTTTGCTCTGATGTGGGAGTTCAGATGTGATAGAAATGTGAATAATGTTGGTGTATGTAAAATCTAGTGTGCTGTTAACTGATGGCTGCAGCCATCCATCCATCCATTTTCTAAACCTTAGTCCCAAACGGGGTCACAGGGGGCTGGAGCCAATTCCAGCCAGCTGCGGGCGATAGGCGGGGTACACCCTGGACAGGTCGCCAGTCCATTACAGGGCTTGGCTGCAGCCAGTAGTTGGTAAAAGTTAGTTAACATAGGCCATTTCAGGTCCCACCTGGGCAGTTTTTTATGAGGCTGACTGTGGCGTAATTTTTACTCCAGCTGAGCTGGTTTGTTACATCAGGTTCTGATCCTAAAACAGTGTTTGCGGTTCATCATAGAGACTGTTTTGTATCTTAATGTCAGATCAAAGTTGTGTTTTTTTAATTTCTTGCCATAATGTTTGCATGTATTCAAGAGAGAGCAGTGAAGCAAAAAAGCTGAAATCACTGCAGAGCTGCAGGGCAAAGATAAATCCATGACCTTTCACCAAATGGCTTATGGGATATGCAACACTAAATGTAAGAACCTTTGCCATCACTTGTACCTGAGGAGTGGTAAGAAAAAGCAAATGTTAAAAACTTTCTTCCAACATTTAATTTAGTGGGTGGCTTATTTGTTTTCTTCTCTGGAGTGAAGGGCATGCTTGTGTTTCAGATAAGCCTGTAAAAATGACATTTGACACACATAATGCTGTATGGCTGAGAATCAATTAGATATTTACAAAAGATGAGATCTATATTAAGGGTGGTGAGATGGCATTATGAATTTAGTAAACAATTTAACTGGCAGAGTCAAAGGTTTTACATGAGGTTGTTGGGATTGTATGTGAAACTGATAAATATACTGTCTAAGGCTGGCATTGTCCTATATTCTTCACATTGTATCAGTACTCATACTGTACTTTTGAAGCTTAGTCATTCATCTGACACCATAAACCTTTAAGCAACAGGTTTCAAATCATTTTATGAAGGCTCAGTATTTTTGTTTAATAAAACAATGCAATGTTAAGCAATTATTACTCAAATAGAAGTAAATAAAGCATTTGTTGGGAACAGTCACAGATCAATTGTTATTTGGTTCAGTTGAGAGAATATCTGGCAGCAGAACAACTTGATGTAAACTCAGTCAGACAGCAGTGCAACTGGCATGTTACAGTTAACACCTCGACTCTGCATTGGGTTGTGTAGGGAGGAGGAATAGGGAGGGAGGCTTGAGTCTATTTCTATGCATTATATTGGCTGGCTACATTGTATGGAAAGTCACACAGCTAACATGCAGCATTGTTAGTCCAGTGTGGCTCACTGGATTAACGCACTTAGACAACAGTGGCTCTCTACATCACAGAGGAATCAGGTCCATCAGGCTCTGGTCACACAGAATACCTTTTAGTAATCAATTTGTTGCTGGTTTTGATGTTTTCATGCAATCCTTTGATATTGATAAAAATGAATGCTCTGTCACCTTTAAGCTACCATGTTACCATGGCTAGTTTGTGCCCAGTTAACAACCAGCCTGAGGGCCACCCTGAGCTCAGTCTGGTGGAGAGCCCAGCTGTAGCGATATCTGTGTGACAGCTAGTAACAGCTGTTGAGGTGGAGAGGTGAGGCTGAGAAAAGCCAAATGAGGTCCTTTTTACTAATGAGGCTTGGCCACATCGCTCTCTCTCCCTCTCTCTCTGTCTCACTGCTGCAGCAACGTTATCGGTATGCACCTCGTTCTGCTTCCTCAGTTCCACAGCAGCTCCAAGGATTCTGCCTCAAACATAGCA